TCTCTTCTGTTCTTTAACGGGTCTTCCAAGAACACCTTCTCCCTTCCAAGAATACTTTTTCCTTCTTCAGTTAACGGGACCAAGTACGTTGTCTGACCGCAAAGAATAGCCTAGCAATAAGAGAGGGAAAAATGAGGGTGTTTTGGAAAAGAGAGGAGAGGGCGAGAGTGTTATGAAGTTATGTGAGCAGAGAGTGGGAGGAGAAAGGTGGGGGGGAAAGTGGCAAGGAAGAAAGTGGTGAAGAAGAAAGGCAGAGAGAGAGGCAAAAAGAAGAGATAAGGAGAGAGAGAGAGAGAGAGAGAGAGAGAGAGAGAGAGAGAGAGAGAGAGAAGAGAGAGAGAGGAGTAGAGAGAGAGAAGAGAGAGAAGAGAGAGAGAGAGAGAGATGAATAGATAGATAGAGAGAAGAACAGAGAGAGAGAGAAATAGAAAGAGAGAGAGAGGAGAGAGAGAGAGAGAGAGGGAGATAGATAGATCAGAGATAGATAGATAGATAGATAAGATAAGAAGAGAGAGAGAGGAGAGAGAGAGAGAGAGAGAGAAGAGATATGGAGAGACAGAGAGGAGGAAACGAGAAAGAAGAGAGAGAGAGAGAAGAGAGAGGAAGAGTAGAGAGAGAGAGAGAGAGAGAGAGAGGAGAGAGAGAGAGAGAGAGACGAGAGAGAGAGAGAGAGGAGGAGATGATAAGATAGATAGAGAGAGACCAGAGAGAGAGAGAATAGAAAGAGAGAGAGAGGAGAGAAAAGAGGAGAGCAGAGAGAGAGGGAGATAGATAAGATAGATCGATAGATAGAGATATAGATAGATAGAGGAGAGAGAGAGAGAGAGATAGAGAGATATGGAGAGACAGAGAGAGAGAGAACGAGAAAGAAGAGAGAGAGAGAGAGGGAGATAGAAGAGAGATAGATTAGAATAGATAGATTGTAGATAGAGAGAAGAGAAGAAGATAGAGAGAGAGAGAGCAGAGAGAGAGAGAGAGAGAGAGAGAGAGAGAGAGAGAGAGAGAGAGAGCGGAGGAGAGAGAAGAGAAGAGAGAGAGAGAGAGAGAAGAGAGAGAGAGAGAGAAGAGAGGAGAGAGAGAGAGAGGAGGAGAGAGAGGAGAGAGAGAGAGAGAGAGAAAGAAGATACGAGCGAAGAGAGAGGCGGAGAAGCGAGAGAGCGAGAGAGAGCGAGAGAGAGAGAGAGGAGAGAGAGAGAGAGAGAGAGGAGAAGAGAGAGAGAGAGGAGAGAAATGATAAGATAGAATAGAAGAGAGGACCAGAGAGAGAGAGAAAATAAGGAAAGAGAGAGAGAGTAGTTAGAGAAGAGAGAGAGAGAGCAGAGTAAGGGAGATAGATAGAAATAGATGTCAGAGTTAGATAGAGTAGATAGATGTAGAGAGAGGTAAGAGGAGAGAGAGAGAGAGAGGAAGAGAAGAGAGAGACAGGAGAGAGTAGAAACGAGAAGAGAGAAGAGAGAGAGAGAGAAGGGAGATAGATTGAGTTAGATAAGATAGATTTAGATAGATGAATAAGATTATAGAGAGAGAGAGAGAGAGAGAGAGAGAAGGAGAGAGAGAGAGAGAAGAGAGAGAGAGACGAGAGAGAGAGAGGAGTAGAGAGAGAGAGAGAGGAGAGAGAGAGAGAGAGAGGAAGAGAGAGAGAGAGAGGAAGAGAGAGAGAGAGAGAGAGAGAGAGAGGAGAGAGAGAAAGAGATATAGGAGAGAGAGCGAGAAGAGAGAGAGAAGGAGAGAGGGAGAGGGGATGACACGATTTTAGAGAGAGAGAGAGAGAGAGAGGAGAGAGAGAGAGAGAGAGAGAGAGAGAGAGAAGGAGGTGAGGGGTGAACGTTTGGATGAAAGCGGGGATGTGTGATGAATGAGTTATGAGATGAATGCAGGCGAATGAGGGAGACCTCGTAAAGGCGGGAAGAGAAAGCGTAAATAAACAAGAAAAGAAGTCGAGAGAATGAGAGAGAGAGAGAGAGAGAGAGAGAGAGAGAGAGAGAGAGAGAGAGGAGAGAGAAGAGAGAGAGAGAGAGAGAGAGAGAAGAGAGAGAGAGAGAGTGTGAGTGTGAGAGAGAAAGAGTAAGGCCAAGAGGGAAGACAAAGAGCATACGAAAATAAATGGAGAAAACGAAGAGCAAAGGACGGGTAGCAGTCAAGGAAAATAAATAATAAAAAGAAAGAAGGGAGAAACAAAAGCAGAAAGAAAAAGTAAGTGAAACAGGGTGCAGACTGGGTCACATCGGAATAAACAGGACAGCAGTAATTAGTTTCATGCTCACGTCTATGAAACTACTCGACGTAGAAAAGGAGAGAGAGAGAGAGGGAGAGGAAGAGGGAGAGGGAGAGGGAGAGGGAGAGGGAGAGGGAGAGGGGAGGGAGAGGAGAGGGAGAGGGAGAGGGAGAGGGAGGGAGAGGGGAAGAGAGGGAGACGGAGAGAGGAGAGAGAGAGAGGAGAGAGAGAGAGAGAGAGAGAGAGAGAGAGAGAGAGAGAGAGAGAGAGAGAGAGAGAGAGAGAGAGAGAGAGAGAGAGAGAGAGAGGCGGGAGGGAGAAACATGACGAGAGAGAAAAACAAGAAGCGAGAGAGAGAGAAACAAGAAGAGAGAGAGAGGGAGAGAAAGATAGTGGCACACGGGCCCGGACTCGAGCAACGGCGCGCGCGGGCAGCGGCATGACCCGAGGGCGGGTTCGAGTGAAGCAACAACACACGCGAAACACAACCCTAGGAACCCAGGAAAGGTCATCATTGCGACGGCATTCCGAGACTCGAGGCTTCAACCGAGGGTGCGTGTGTACGTCAGTCGAGATGCGTGTGTGTGCGTAAATGTGCGTGTATAAATGTGTGCGTGTGTAAGCATGTGCGTGGATGATAATATCCCGGAAGCTCGCAACGAGATTCGAAACCTGTTTTAAGTTTCGCGTTTTAAAACTTGAGGAGAAAAGTCTAACTTTCACGCCTCGGGTCCAGCGCGGGGATATTGTGAGAGCTGCTTCACCAGCCGGCCTTTGCACTCGCATACACACTGTAAAACATATGGTGTGTACGTGCCTAGGTGCTTGAGTGTCTGTATGTATGTCTGCATGTATGTATGCGTACACGAAGAAGTTGAAGTCGATGTATACAGAGACTTGTTTGGAAACAAGTGGCAGGTTGATATTCGTCTTTAAGAGCAAACAGGTGTTTCTCTGACAGATGCCAGGAGGGGAAATTTTCTCTAAGAATGGACGGGCTTTTTGAGGGTACTGTTTTTTCTGTCTGTCTCTTACAAAGATAAAGGTCCGGGTCAGAAAAAAAATACAGAAAGGCGTCTCTCTTACAGTTAGCAGACCTCTATTTAAGCGGGCAAATGACTTCCGGAAATTGGCAAAGTGTCTCTCTTGGGCGAAATGAAGGTCAGTGCAGAGCAGATGCGTCTCCTAATTATGACCGACGCTTTTTCTAATGAGACAGGTGTTCGTCAGTACAGACAAGTGTTTTTTTACGACAACCGTCAGCGAAGGGAACAGTTTTCTCTTACAACGGGTGACGGGAGTGGGGTGAGAGGGGAGGTTTTCTCAGGTCAGAGAGGTGCCTTTCTAAGCAGACAGGTACAAGTAAGAGAAATTTTCCAAGCAGAGGCTTTCCAAAACAGACACGTGACTGAATAGAATATTATCTTGCAACACAGGTGGATACTTTCAAGCTCTTCTCAAGGCAGACAGTTGAAATTGTGAGGGGAATGCCATATTCTGGTACAAGCAGGTGAAATTTTGAAGTAGAGGGAGAAATAAAAGTATATGGGAAAATAAAGTCATCAGTCGTACAGTTATAGAAACTACCATACTTAATATTTCTAAGGCAAAACCGATAGAAGTATGCTTAGTCATGAAGCAGAAAGGAAAAGCATGAGGTCAAGATACTTTCACAAGAGATGTGGCACAATCAACATTGCAAGAGACGGCGAGTGAACAAAGGACACAGAGCAAGGGCCAACGCCTCCTTTCTCGCGGCTTTGAGGTCAGTGATTCATGCCTCCTTCGCCTCGCCCAGGATAGTGACGTCACTAGAACCTCGGAGCTTCCCCTGTCTATCTCTTGCGAGATGACGTCACTCAGGTACCGTAAGGCGACACGAAGGTCAGTTCGGCGGTCGCATTGATGGCCGGCCAGCCCTTACGGTCAATTCCTTGCCACAAACAGGGCCCAAAGGAATGGCCCATCACCACCAAGGACGAAGATAATAGCGCTGTTCCCAATGGTCGTGAAGATCGGTGGCGACAGAAGACGACACCATTCTCACGCGAGCAAAAGTAAATAAGGAACAGATGACATCATGATCATATCCAACTCTCTCGGCCGCCTTGGAGCCTCGTGGCCTCATTCAGCCAGCAACGCAGTTCCGGCTTCTTTTGCCTGCTGCATATCCGCTTCACTCGATATTCCTCGAAGAACAGGTGTGAACACTTGGGCACAAACACACGTGCGGGGGAAGGGGTCAGTGACCCTGCGTGGCACTTCTCTCCGACCTCCTCTCAACGGCACTTGTCTCTGTGCTCTCAACTTCCTCTTTCCGCGCCAATGCGATTTTGTGTTGGCATTAATGATCCATCCATGTTCAGGATAGAAAATTATTTCGTGGGAAGTTGTTAGGAGAGTATGAATGAATTTCAAGATTTGTAGAAAGGCACACGCTGATAGAAAGAGGAGTTGCAAAGAACAGTCGCACAGTTGCAATGCAGGAGATTGGCGTGCGACAGCGGGCACTGAACTGTCTCACCACGAACAACACAGCAACCTCACCAATCCTTCCAAACTCGTCACAAACACATCTTCTGATTCATGCTTCTATTCCCTGTGCATCATCTTGTTTTTATTTCGTCTCTGGAGGCCAATGTAGGTTCAGAAGGGCCGTAACGCACCTTGATTTTGGCGAGCATCAGCCTTCGACGGCGAGACTAAGAGGCGAAGGACAGCAAGTCGCGGCGAGCGAGGAAGCGCAAGGCCACAGCGCGGATCAACACACGGGCTTTGAACTTACCTTGAGAGCTGTCATGGCGGAGAGGAGGCGAAGAAGCGTCGCGCCGACTGTCAGCTGTTGTTCTGAGGTCGCGTTGACGCCGCTGCGAGTGGTTCACCTGGAGCGTTCACGAGGAGGTGCGGCCGCGGCGGCTGCAAAGGACTGATAGTGCGGGCACAGAGCTCGCGAGGCTCGGACACCGATGCCACTCCGGCGAAAGTAAAAGTCGACAGTGCCTCGGCGGGCGGGCGGCGGTGGGCGGGGAGACGCCGGCCGGACTTTCAAACACGGGCGCCTCGCATTCATTGGTTATTCCTCCTTTCGGGCTAATATGCCAGTTGCAATGGCGGAGATCGAGTGTTTTACAGGCAGCGTAGTCTCGCCGCGACGCTGTGTCGATTTTTTCCTCGCTGGCCACTTTTTTTTTTTGAAAGGAAGAAGGAATGTGGTGGTTTGGGGGAGGGGGGGGGGCGGCCTGCCACTCTCGCTGAGCGTCCGTCCTGCCGCAGCGACCCTCGACAGCCTTGCCTGCCGATCTCGAGGCCCTCGGAGCACCGCGGCGGAAACCGTGTCGATCCGCACAAGTAAACGGCCAAAGAAGAGATGGAGAACCGAAGGGAGATGATTAACGATCGCGTGCAAGACCGGGTGATGATCATGTCTGTGTCGGCGAGGATCCACTTAAGAGAACTATCAACTAATGGCCCCATTCGCGGTCGTCCTCTGGAGCCAAGAACCTGATGGCTGATTAACGAAGTTCTCAAAAACACCTGACAGCGTAGCAGCCTGTCCAGTGACCCTCCTAAAATGCCGTCGTACAAGCCACCACCGCGCTGTTATCTCAGCAGCGATATCTCTAATATCTCTCCGCTGTAATCTCCCCCTTCGGTAACCCCTTCTGGCTAATCACTGGCTCATTAGTTCAACAAAATCCGGTAAAAGTTTTATAAGATCTTTATAACCAACCGAAACATTTACTGGAGCAGACGCCACGGCAGCAGCCCGGTCAATGACCTTATTAGCCGAGGCAGTAAAGGCACTGATCCAAAGAGTCGACACGAGATGGCGTTCCGAAAGCCGGGGTACTGTGTACTGTGTAGTTCACGACCCGGTTACGCATCGGCTAAGAACGCAATCATCGACGCACTGCGTTTAACGTAGACATTAACCAGACTCTGTTCGAGCCCCTTTTGTCCAATCAGCTGTACTTTAATGGCCACGTCGAGAGCATATACTCGTGCATATCTCCTGTAGCTTTATGGCATTTTTATCTCTCTTTATAAGGCTTTGGTACCAATCGCCTTTTTTCTCTTTCTCCCTCTCTTCCATAGCAACTGTGAGAATACTAGCCCTCGCAGGTGTTGACTATCTAGCACGACTAAGAGACTTTCTTACACTTTATAAAGTATTTTGACGCTCTCTTTGGACATCTCTCAAGAGTCTCTTGCTTAGCCTCGCTGCGTCATAACGGCATTTCAGTGTCTCACGTGTGTGCGCTGACCATCTCACGGACGTGCTATTGTCTCTTCGGGAAGGTATGGGCAAGAAGCGCGCATATGGACCGTTTCGAAATGGGAAGTACCAAAGCCTCTTCAGCGAAACTTTGTGTCGACGTGAAATATCTCTGCGCAGGTGTGAAACTTTTTTCCCTATACACAGGTGGCTAGTGAAAATTCAACAATGTTAAAGAATACACGAATGGAGTCTTTGCCCTCCGGGAAGCTATATTTCTTCTTGGACCAATTTCGCTTTCGTAAAAGTTTTTCATATTGCAAAGAGGAAGGTGAGAAGGATACTCTAGCACGTTAGAAACAGGCTCTTTAGACACACCTCGGGATCTCGGATGAATGGAATATTTGCACATGCCAATTTTAGCAGATCGAAAAAAAAAAGGCCAGTGAAATAACATAATTGTTCTTTATTAGTAATTACCGTTTTTACGTAGCTTACATTCCCTCACAGACTTTCCCCTCCATTATGTCGCCGTGCTAATAATTTCAGATGTTTCTCTAATTCACTTGCATTATTAACTTCTGACACAGGAACAAGTAGAAAATCTCTCGGTTTGTCTCTTTTCTCTCTCTCCTCTCTCTCTCTCCCTTTCACAAATAGCAGACATCCTTCTCCTCCCTCAAAAACATTTTTATAGCCCCGAACAATAATAGAAGACGAACAAATAGATAATAACAGGCGAGAAACAATAGATCGCGTGGTTTCATACAGAGACACGCATTCCAAGATTCCATTATTTATAGAGACAAACACACGCCCGAATTCGCCATCAAATTATATCATGCACGCGCTGTGTATGCTGTTGCCTGTTTCTTCCTACTTGCACGCTTATGCAACACGGTTCCGCAAGACCCTTCTTCTTGTGCTGTAATATTATACTCTGTAATGTATGAATAGCTGTGCACATGAGTACGTATAGGGCATAGCACAACACACACACACACACACACACACACACACACACACACACACACCACACACACACACACACACACACACACACACACACACACACACACACACACACACATATATTATTATATATATATATATATATATATAATATATATATATATATATATATATTATATATACACACACACAGCACATACATATGAATGTTAGACATACATAATACACACACACACACACACAACACACACCAAAATATATATACATAAAATAATTACTAATCCTAAATTATATATATATATATAAGTCTATATTATATAATATATACAAATATATAGAAATGTAATCTCTACAAATGTACATATCTATACTATATCTATCCAATCATAATACTCTATAATCATAATCTATATCATATAATATCATATTCCCTATCTATCTATCTATTATATCATACCCATAATATGCATATACTATCATATATATATATACATATAATATTAATACTATATATTAATAAAATACATACTCATATACATCTCATATTATAATTGTGCATAATATATACTTATATATTAATATATATATATCACTAATATATATATATAATATAGTCCTATCATAATATATCTCACTCTATATATATACTATTTTAAAGAGAAGAGAGAGAGAGAGAGAGAGAGAAGATGCGAGAGTACGAGAGAGATTATTAATACACACGCACACACACATATGTATTTGTATAATATGATAACTATAAATATATATATTACCCATTATTCTCTCATTTTCATAAATGAATACATTATATGTATATATTACATATATATTATATATATAAATAATATCATATTTATTATATTCATCTATATTATATTATATATATATATAAGTATCTATAGATACATAATCAATATTATACCCATACATAATTATGTGTAGGTGTCTCTGTGATTCTAGTGTGATGCGTGTGTCTGTGCGCATGTGTACATGTGTGTGAATGAATTACATAAAATAGATAACACAATTCTTAACCATTTACTTCATAATATATACTATACTATAATAAATATACTAACTATAATAAGTCTCATCCTCAATAATATATATATCATATCATATGTATGTGTGTTGTCTGTTGTGTGTGGTGTGTGTGTGTGTGTATGTGCGTGTTTTGTCGCGTGTGTGTGTGTGTGTGTGTGTGTGTGTGTGGTTCTGTGTCGTGTGTGTGTTGTGGTGTTGTGTTAGTGTTGACACCACATATAAATAACTGCCACACATATACAAAATACATACTATTCATCATAACATTACAATCAAATCCACCAACTACATACAACACTACATACACACACTACAATACATAAAATAATATATACAACAATATACTATACTATTAATATATATATAACATTATAAGTATATCCATTCTGCTCATCCACACAATACACACACACGACACCTCCACCTCGCCGCCTATGCCTCTCCCCTCCATTCCTCATGATAATCTAGACGTCTTTCCTCTTATAATATCCCCTTTTCTCCCTACTCTTCCAGGACATACCCTTCTCCCTCATCTTTCTCCTTCTCTTATGCTGTTTCATTTCTCCGTCCCATTGGTTCTCCATCTTTCTCTCCCTCTCTCCGCTCTCTCTCTCGACTCCTCCCTTGTCCTCCCTATACTATTTCTCCCTCCTGTCCCCCTCTCCCAATGCCTCCACTCATGTTTCCTCCTATAGCCTCCCTCTCTCTCATCCCTCTTCTCTCTTTCTCTACCACTCCTTCTCTCTCCTCCTCCGCCTCTTATCTATATCTTCCTCCCTCTCCTCCCTCTTCTCTTAAATACCTCCTCCCTTCAATCTCTTCGTCACCTCCTTCCCTCCTTTCTTCTCTATCCTTCCCTCCCTCTCCCCCTTCTCCCCTCCGCTCCCTCTCCCTCTCTTCTCCTCCGCTCCCTCCTTCCTCTTTCACTATACTTCCCTCCACTTCCTCCCTCTCCTCCTCTTTCCTCTATTCATCTCCCTTCCCACTCACCCTTCCCTCCTCCTCTATTCGTGCTACCCTCTTCCTCCCCCTCTCCCTCCCTCTCATCACCCTCCTCCTCTTTTCACACTATACCTCCTCCCTCCTCACACTTTCACACTATACCCCTCTCTCTCCCTCACCTCCTCCACTCCTCCCTCTCCACGCCTGTTCCTCCAAACGGCCCCTCGGTAGTACGTGGTTCCCGCGTAAGTCGCCCGCTTTTCGGCCTCTTGGTCAGCATCCGTACGGGGGAGAAGAGAGAGAGAGAAAAAAAAGATAACAAGAAAAAAAAGAAAGGTAGACGGAAAAAAGGAAGGTCAGGAAGAGCGTTCCTGTAAGCGACATGTTTGTGGATTTTTTAAGAGTTTGGGATTTTTTTTCTCTTTTCTTATTTCTCAACTGTTTTTGTATTTTTTTTATTACCTTTAGGTTCTTCTGTCTTCTTGTCTCAATATGCTTCCTTCTCCCTATTCCCAATATCTATCTTCGCTTTTTTACACCTTTTTTCCTGCTCTTCTTTTCCTTGTTGTTACTTGTATCTTCCTCCTCCCTCTCCTTCATTTGCTCATATGTCTTCCACTTCCCTTCATTATTCATATCTCCTGCTCCTGCTTCTGGATAACTATATTTTTTCCCTTTTACTGTCCATCTTTCCTTTTTTTTCTTACTCCTCACTCCATCCCCGCTCCTCCTGCTCTTTCATCTCTTATCTGTCCTCCGCAAAGTTCGCTTTCTCTCCTCCATCCTTTCTAAACGTTACAGCC